AACTTGGTTCATGGCTCCTTCCAAACAAGCGAGGTTCATTCTATGGTGCAAAATGATTTCACCCCATACCATCACAGAACCTCCTTGGTAATTGTGGACTTCCTAGAAGTGCCTGCTTTTCTCCAAGGGTCCACTTGAACGCCACACTCTCGTTCTTTTCGAATCAGGTCGAAGTCCGAACCAAGATTTGTTGGTTAACATAATGTTGGACCATTATGCCTCAGGCCATTCAGCATTTTCTTCAGGTTGTGTAAAACGCGCTTCCTAATTGCCGTGACGAAGCGCAAACACTAATTAAGCGACTAGAATGAAGCTCAGTTTGATACGATTTCTGATGGTTTGGTCGGAAACCGTTACATAATATACATTTTGAAGATCCGCGGAAAGCTCATGTGCTGTCTTGGACAGGTGTTGCTTTTTACGATATTCATCTGTTTCGGGCACATCGCCCTTATCTTGATATCTTCCCCAAAATTTACACATCACACTTCGTAATACTCCAAATTCGGCTGTTACCTAAAACTGTGAACGGCCTACCTGAATCATCCCTACCGCACGTAACATTTCGTCTCGAGCTAAATGTCGACGTTCCATCGTAAACTGTTATGTTATGGTCAACATAAATACATCTGAACTGAGTGCATATGCCGAAAGATAAGGTGTAAAATGGACAGTATAAAAAGCAACATTTTTTAATGGGCTACCTTTTATCGAATTAAATTCCTTCTCGGCAGATAAAATTAACAAATGAAGTGCATGTATAATAAACATACAGGGCACATTTATAATTTGCTAGAATTGTTTAATAAAAATTTATTTATTAGCAGTTTTGTTCCTTAGACAATTTTGAACAATGTACTTTGTCAAGAAGACCGGTGTTTTTGAAAAATAGCCAGATTTTAACTTTAACACCCTGCATATCAAAAACGGATTACGGAGTGTGGTCTGAGGACGCTTTTGTTTAGAAATTTAGAAATTTTAACTGAGTACGTATCTCCATATGTACTATTTGGCCCCCCTAATAAGTACAAAATAGGAGGTTTTATAGACGAGTAATGGGTTTGTCTATTTAATTCGATACAAAATAACTAAATGCAAAATAGTTTATTCCGTTACTAAGAGAAGAAGGTGAAACTGGACAAAACACAAATATCTTTTCCGAGTAACATATAATCTTTTTTTTGGATCGTCTAAATTAAAAATAAAACGAATTTATCGTTAAACAAATGTTTATAAGGAAAAAATACAGTCTTTACTTTGAAAAATTCTATTAATTCTTAATTCTAATAAAACTTAAACATGTATCTGTTATTTTAATATTTTTCAAACCTAGCAATTATATTTTGCATATTTAAATCTATTTATCTGGGAATATACAACAAAGTCAACACCAATAGATTGTTCTGCGATCGAATCGACGTTTTTAATATCTTTAATTTGGAACTCCTTTCAACAGTTGCTACTGAGATTGGCATTGTTACAAGAATTTTCTTATATTTCGTAATATTGGGATAAAATTCCCGTTGTATGGAAAAAAGTGTATATGTGGCTGTTTCCCATGTCGTCAGCAGTTTAAACGTTTCCTTAAATAATTGCATCTCGTCTAAACTTTTACACATTCACTTCCTATTCCTCGGTTAATCCAGAAAATTGATTACAAACTAAATTTTCTTTTTCTTCTATTTCAATTACGGTTTTTATATTTACTAAGTTTTTTGAAATCAGGAGAAAAACATTGTAATCTTTCAACGGAAAACCTTTGCAATAAATCATTAAGGACATAATCGAGCAATATATTGCTTTTGCAATAAATCATTTGGGTCACTTACGGAAAAATTACATCTCAGAGTTCGTTTTGATGCTAACAGAATACTTTTAATTGTACATTAATAGTTTGTATAATTTTTGAAGCTGCATTTAGAATTTGTAGTATAATTTAGATATCAAATTAACACATGCTAAAAACTCCTAAAACTTCTTTTTGTGTGGGACTATTATAAAGAACCCCGCACTTTTCTCATGTAAAGTGGTGAGCGGTCAAATTTTCTGAAATTTTGGAATGTTGTTATATACAACCTAGTAATCAAAAGAATCAATGGGACCAACTCAATCAAATGACCAGTTTTCGAGATACGGGATGTTAAAGTGAAAAGTTGTTTAGTTTTGAAATTTTTATTTTCAAACTTACGAGCTAGACAGGGTTTCTGTTGCATACAGTTGTTTACTACATGTTTTACTAATACATTAGTTCATACGTACAATTAAAAATATTTATAATTACAGGATGATTCATAAATGTATGACGGTAGTTTTTGCAAAATCTCACTAGTTCTACTGTAACGTCAAGAAAGCATATTTTCAAAAAGTATGTGGTATTTTAGCGACAAAATATTGCACAGTACACATTTTTATACAGGATGTTTTATAGAGAGAACTACATTATAAAATTATTTTTTTAAGGATTAATTAAAAACCATAAACTTATGAATTTGTTTTATTGGAAAGGTAATAATACTAAAGAAATGCAAGGTCTCATTTTAATAATTTCGAAACATAATTATTTTTGGTGGTTGGCTGCAAGGCTCACCCTGTATAAAAAATACACATAGCAAAATCTTTTAACCTCAAAATTGTAAACGGGTAGATATTAACTTAATGAAATAATTTCTTTTTGGCACAACTGTAGAATGTGTTTGCATTTAATAATACAATAATATAATAATACTCTACCTAATTCACCCGCTTACCAGTGAATTTTAACCCCAAAAGCTGAGCTTGTGCGGTGAAAGAGACGGCTATTACTATTATTTGCCGTGGCGCTCCGGGGCGACTTAAAAATGATTGATGGTGCCATTTGACTTACAGGTGAGGAAAACCCGGAAAACCTCACCTATCATCATCGAGACGGTAATGCATGGCGATTTTATAATCTGCATGTCATATCAACAGACATTGACTTTTTATTAATACGGCACACATCAAATCCTATACCAAACCATGCAATTTAATTAAAAATCCACATTCACAAATATATTGTGATTTTTTCGTGAATCACCCTGTAACAATAAATAGTATGTGGCAAATAGTTTAAAACTAATGCCAACCCACCCCCCACACACAATAAATATTTTAAACTCTCTTTTTTTTATGGACATTGACTAAAACTTATATTAAACTTATATATTATCAAAGTAAATAATTTAAAATTTAAAATAATCGATTAATAATGGAAATAATCGATTAATCGAAATAAACGAAATAATCGAAATAATCGAAATAATTGAAATAATCGAAATAATCGAAATAATCGAAATAATCGAAATAATCGAAATAATCGAAATAATCGAAATAATCGAAATAATCGAAATAATCGAAATAATCGAAATAATCGAAATAATCGAAATAATCGAAATAATCGAAATAATCGAAATAATCGAAATAATCGAAATAAACGAAATAATTGAAATAATTGAAATAATCGATTAATCGAAATAATCTAAATAATCTAAATAATCTAAATAATCTAAATAATCTAAATAATCTAAATAATCTAAATAATCTAAATAATCTAAATAATCTAAATAATCTAAATAATCTAAATAATCTAAATAATCTAAATAATCTAAATAATCTAAATAATCTAAATAATCTAAATAATCGAAATAATCGAAATAATAGAAATAATCGAAATAATCCAAATAATAGAATAAACGAAATGATTAATTAATCGAAATATTCGATAATTCTCAACTTTAACGCCCTGTATGTCATAAACTGATAACAGTATCGGATTTAAAATTCATACCTCCCAAAACGGTGTTAAAATTATTATATGCTTAGAAAATGGTTGCATCTGACTAGGGAAATTTTAGAATACCTTCCAAGAAATAAATCACTTTGTATATTTTGAAGCTTCGAGGTACATATATTTAAGTGGCTTGCCTTTACCAAAAATGTGTTTTATAACCAATTTTCAGCCTTCAGATATTTAAAAAAAAACAATTGCTTACATTTTTAATTCAAGGTATAAGCTTATGTATATTTTGGAAAAATATGGATGATCAATCTATGTAACTATCTATTTCATTGACCTTGTCAAATCACCAGGCCTACAGGGTTGCCATACTTTTGCCATATCATAACCTGTCAAAACCCACTGGTAGCCATTCAGTTTGGAATGCCTAATTGTTTGACATGTCATTAGAATGATAGAATGCCTTATTCCAATAGGATTGGTTGACATTATTATGACACATGACTGACATGGATATGACAACTACACTTTTAAAAAGAACCGAAAGTAAGATTTTCGTCAGAATACAGTATTGTCATATTGCAATAATAAAAACAATGTAGTTATTGCAACTTTAAAATCGATCACTCAAGAGAATAACATATTTTGAGTTGGTTCGACGTCGACAAATTTCAGTAAACAATTGAAAATAAACCCTCTGATATCTCGGCTACGCCTTACGGCCTGGTGCCATTGCCAAACAGGCAACTGTCATTTAACAAAAATTACTTTCCATTTATATTTTAAACTTTAAAGACCAAAAACTAAGGAATTATAAACGTTTACGAAAAAGTGTATGGCTTATTGCTCTACGAAAAATCTAATATTGTTATTTAGGCGTTTGTAGAACAAGAAATGAATTAAAATTATTTATTTCACATATTTTATGGTCGAGACTGAACTATATATTTTGTATTTTCTAAGGTGAAAAAAAAATTGTCAGCGGACTCAAAATAGTTATGTGTAATATGTTTTAAAGTGTCTAGAAACTCTCTGTAAAATTTCAATAGTACTATACGCCGTTCATGTTTGATGGTATATTACCAAAAATTGTTTTGAAAGAAGGAAGTGTAATTAATTGTAGTAGCCCAGAAAAAATGTAATAAAGTTGTATCTTCTTAGACAGCATTTAAGTTTAATGACCATAAATCTTTAGGTAGTTATTCCGATCCAGTTACTTGTAACCTCTTATTAATCCGTCACCGTCACCTTAGCCACAGGCCCACGGCCTCGACAGGGCAAGTAACCCATCGCGTTCGCGATGGTGGCGGCGGCGGCGACTGGCCGGCGTGATCACCGATGTGTGGCAGCCACTTTCTGATGACTCACAGACTGCAATTCGCTGTCAGATCCCACGAATTTCACCGTTTCCAGAGGCCTCCAGTACGCAACACTGTGTGTACTTGTATATGCTCTGCTCGAGAAACCAAACGCGATTTAGTTTATCGGTATTTTTCTGTTTTGCCGGCTTTTCATTGAAAGTGGTGAAGGTTCGTTATTTTTTGGTGTTTTGAGTGATTCATATAAGTGATTTCTGATTGTGGATCTGGATCTGGCTTTTAACGCAGTTGGAAAGTGATTTAAGGGATCTTTAAACAGGTAAATTTGATTCTTAAAACCAGTTTTTAAGTAATTTGTGAATAAAACTTGAAAACCAATTAAACCTACTACAATTTTGGATTTTTTTTTATATAAAAATCACCGAACCAAAAATGAAAATTTAAAATTCAGTAAAGAAATATATATTTCACTTAAATTATTTATGTATTTGTTTCTATGCTATTTATTTCGTCCACAGGGTTGGAGAAAACCTAAGAATTATAAATAATAAAATTAATTTTATCTGTCAAACATTATTAATAACATTAAAAAGAAAAATTTAAAAAGTGCAATTTTATAATTTTAAAAAAATCACTTTCTGCAAACAAATAAAAATAAAAAAGGTATTTTTTTTAATAGTCGCTATCACTAATATTAATATCAAGAAGTTCATCAGTGGCAACATTTATAAAATATTTGCATTTATTTTTATATGCACAAATTTTTGCACCCTTTGTGCTGAGAGTCGAGTATCTACTAAAATTGTGAATTCTAAATATTTTTCTTTGAAAAACCCAAAGTTCGGATTTTTACTAATAGGTTTTTAAAAAACTAAAAAAACCTGGATGCAAAAAAAATATGTACCTGCCAACTCTGCCTTTTAAAAAACAATTTTTAACAGTTTTATAACTATAAAACATTAGTAGTCCTAAACTAAGTTTGTACCTTGCTTTTTAAAGAGTCAAAAATTAAATAAATTTACTAAAATGCAAAATGATTGAATTCTTTATCTTATGGTAAATATAATTTTCGTTCATCCACCAAAATTTGAAATGTCAGACGAACATAAGTTAAATTTTAGTGAAAAAGGGCAAATTTGTTGTACCTAATAATTACAAGATTTAATGTTAAACTTGTTATAAGCTTTATAACAAATAAGTAATTAATAAAGATCACAATTTCATTATTTTGCCGAATTTAATAAATTTTGAGATTATATACCTTTTTTTTATCGACGTTTACGATAGTAAAACTTATACTATATAAAAGTAAGGGTAGTTTGTTAATGAGGGGATGCGTGAAGGATAGGGTGACCAGGTGATCAAAGAACACTTCCGTTTTCATTTTTTTTTACTTGCCATACAAGCCCCGGTTAAATCAAGCGTCTCTATTTTAAAAGTGACCTAAACCTATACACGTATCCTTTAAAAACCATTATATTATTGTACTTATATAATTTAAAATTAAAAAAAAACCTGTTAAGTTTAAGTGGTACTTGCGTAATAATGGTCCGTACCGTAGAAGTAGATTTACGCCAAGCGCTATTACAAAATTTCAATACAGTTTGATCATTTTTGTTCTACCTACACCTTACTATCACAGTTCGTGATTTTTCAATTTTTTTTGAGATTTACGTTTGGAGATAAGTTGGGAGACACCGATTTTTAAGTGTTATTTCGGTAAAGTGTCAAATGAAAAGTAAACCAAAGGTCCCCATTTTTTTTTTGATATCGTGCTTCAAATAAATTTTATTAGATATCCCTCACGTTGGTATCAGAAAAACATTATTTCTAACTTTTAACTCCCAAGATAAAAAATATAGTTTTTTCTATGATCACTCTCCAAAGTACGTTTGCGCTTCGAAATCAAACTGTAAAGTTGACGTTTTCCGCGAACTGACATTAAGTGACAGCTTTGTCGCTCGCCGAGCGACAAAATTGACAGCTTTGTTGGTCTCCTAATTTAAATTAGTTATAATATATATAATAGTTGCATTTTAGGTTTTAGACCATGCTCGACTTTTTATAAAGAATAACTTTTTTTCCCAATATTAATAATAAAAAAGTTTTTCATATGCCGCCAATTTACGTAGACAGTTGGTGGCATAGGAAAGCTTTTTTATTACTAATTTTAGGAAAAAAAGTTGTTGTTTATAAAAGTCGAGCATGGTCTAAAACCTAAAATACAATCATCAAATATCAAATTTAATCAGTCGTATAAAGAATAAAGGTACTTTACTCTTGAGTAAACCTAATATTTTTTGTCAAACCTCGTATACTACTGAAAAAATTTGATATTTGATGACTGTATTCTAGGTTTTAGATAATGCAGAACTTTTTATGAAGAATAACTTTTTTCCTAAAATTAATAATAAAATGATTCCAACTTAGGGGGACATACTGTATAATATATATTTTTAATAAATTATTTTCAAGTTTTTTGTATTTAGTTACATGTTTTTTGTTTTATTATTCCAGTTAACGCCATTTCCTCTTATCATGATTAATGTAGATATAAGCATTACGACAAATTTTCAGTTTTTCTATCTATTTCTTAAAATAATGTGATCGTAGAAAAAATCTTTTGAGCGAAGAGTTGGATGCCGCTTTCGACAGATTGTCGCGCAACGCGCGGTCAACTTTCTGTCTCGGGCGGCAAAGTATCACTTTTCGCTCTTAATACACAAATAAGCTATTTTAATTAACGCCTGTATTTGGACCACAACTTACTAAAATTGTTTCAAATAACAGTTTCTTAGCAAAACGCCTATGTCAGACATACAGACATCGAGATGGTTCCATATGTGTTCTTTCTGCCAAATTAGGGACGAAACACTAAAAATAATGTTTTTGCAGTTCATTGATACTTGATTTGAAAATGCTGGTTATTTAGCCAAATTTGGTGACGAGTTTCTTCTTTTTTTAGTAGTTGTAATTTGTAAAGCAAAAATAATATCCCAAAAAAATACTTTTCATGGAACGCGAAGTGAATTATTTATGTACCTACCAAGGTTGGTAAGCGAAATTTACAGGTCGAGAACACAGTTTGCAAACCGAAGCCCGTAGGGCGTAAAATTAAGTCTGAAGAATATGATAAATATGTAGTTCATGAAATATCACAGTTAAATTGTTCTTTCAAATGAGTATTTGGCCACCGATCAAAAATTGTTGTGTTCATTAGTCATTTAGCATTTATTTTATTAAGATTCGTACTTTGGCTTGTTGCAGTATATTTTTTCTACGAATACTATCCAAACTTAGATAAAAAAGACCAGGGACCGTATTCTTGAGTCGTAGGAACGGCGTTCCTATAGGAATAGAGGGCGTGTTTCTCCTGAAATTCGCTAAGCCCGTATTCTTGAAGTCATAGGAACGTTCACTTCCTACGAAAGTCGTACGAACATCGTTCTACTGGTATTTCGTAGGAGAACGCCGTGTTCTCTCAAGAATTATTAGTAAACGCATGCGCCGGGGTAGCTGATTTATTATTTTTGGCCCGTAATTAAGTAATTTTTTTAACTTTTTTCATATTAGTACTTTTCGTATTTTTATATTTTTAATAAAATCATTATTGATAACAATAGAGTGAATAATTTATTAGCATAAGTAAAATATTATTTGTTACCTCATCCAAAAAAATCAATTATTGTAATTCTAATAAGTGCATGGGTACCTACGTACTTACATATCTATTATTCGTATTCTGGGAATTGTAAATTAGGGAAAATCCCAAAATCCTAATAAATAAGGGTCGTACTATTTAATAGGTAGGTACCATTTAAGCTATATTTATTGCCTAAAATGGGAATACAAATTATGAAAAATCCCAAAATTGATATTAGTGTTCAGTGTTAAGAAGTTTATAAATTAACTTCTACAACAAATATCTTTACTGAAAGCAAATTGTATGGTTTTGTTTTGCAAAAATAATTACAAAATTAGAAAAACACAAAGAATGACTTTTAAAAATATCAACTCGATAGAAAAATTCTTCATTACAAAATTATAAAAACACAAAGAATGATTGTTAAAAATGTTAATTTAATCCCATTAATCTGAGAAAGTGATATTTGAAAAGTTGAAATAAAGTATAAGTATTGACAATAATCTAGTTAAGCTACAGTTAGTTAAAGTAGGTAGCACGGAGGAAGGATAATTAAGAGTTGCAGATTCCGTAAGTAGCAAACAAAAGTTATACAATTTTTTTCGAAATAAATTATAACCATTTATATAATAAGTTAGTTGAAAATATTTCAAATTTCTCTGAGGCGGTCACTCCAGTTTATATAATTAGTCTAATCTATATAGTTGTAAACATATGTATTGAATTTTCTTTACCGAATTTTTGTTAATAAAATTATTTATTTGATATTAATACAAACTTACTTTTCTTTACCACAAAGTTTAAAACAAAATCGACTACCTATACTATAAATTTCCGGTTTGCAAATTATCTTAAAAAAGTGAACTCTGTAATGGCTGTACGTTTTTGTTTCCCTCTTCTATGCTTTTAATAAAAAAATATATATTTTTATCATATTATAGAAAACTCCTACGAAACGACCTCTTAATTTCTAATTCATAATTATTCTCCAAATATGTCAAATTCAATACGGATAGGTGATAATTTTAATATTTTCTTCTTTTATTATCACAAAATAGTTCAAATGTCTACAAAAATCAAGAAAAAGAAGATATTAGAGTTGGCAACACCGTGCACTTTATTCCCCCGTTTGATCACGTTCACCGAGTTTCGAGAATACGACCAAACCACTTCGAGAGAAACGCTGTAGGAAGTGATCGTTCACCTCTCCTATAGGAACGCTCACATCGTCCAAGCTCGAGAATCGACGCACAGAGACATAACATACACCGGTGTTTAACCTGCGCAAATGTTGCCAATTTCTAAAGAAAGGTTAAGGGAGTGGGGGAACTGGGCAGAGATCCGAACTCTGTGACAGGGACCGGACTTTGTTTATTAACATCATAATGAACTATTAGATTTATTTAAAATATATGTTTAATGGAATTTTGTATTATGAAATAAAGTTAACGTGATTTTTTAATATCAAACAGATGCCACGACATTTTATGTAAAGAGAAGACCTTTTATAGAATATTTCGTTAGCGTTTGTTTACTACGGACTTTTCAGCAAGAGACTACAGTAAAACGTTGAAATATAATATTGTTAATAGATCAAGAAATGGTACATTGTCTACGAGTATTATAAAAAAAGCATGTGCGCAGGCGAATACTGCAAATCAAACCTTGTAAGTTGA